ACTAGGAAGCATTCGCCTTGCTGCTAGTCTTGGAAGGCCAACGTGTTGCAGTCACCGAGGATTTTAGCATGATTTGGCCTTCTGGAACTGCAGCACAGTCAAGTCTGGGACACGTCGGGGGGAGCATCTGGCCTTCCTCTGCTGCACAAATCCTTTGATTGCCCAGTAGGACAGGTCCTCAAGGACATAACATTCAAAAGTGTGAGGTACAGTCTAGCATCCACTCAAGGAGAGCATCTTACCGCACCTATATGGACTGAAAGAACCACGAACCACCCTTGTCCCGCTGGGCACCACCGGCAATGGTGTGGCTATGCAAGTGGCAAAGGGCCAGTGCCACATCCACGAAATACCTCACGGGTCGCCGAATCGGGGCGGACTGGTTCGGGTCAGTGTTCAGAGCAGGTGACCTGGTGCGTCAGTGGCACCGACCATCGGTCCTTTCCAGGCAACTTCTTGACACGTCCGCGCGGACATCACATGACCATCATGTTCAAACCTTGATGATCTCCCTGGCATACCTCTTGACCTCTGAGACATCCTGTTCCCACGCTCAAACTGATGCCAAAAGGGTAGTGGCAACATGTGAAAATGGTAGTGGCAACATTGAATACTCCAGCCTTGCAGCGTCCGCTTCAGCAAGTTGTCCTGAACTCCTGCCGTGACCACATGGAGGTTGCTGTGACCAAAGGCTGACAACGCATCCGTAAAAAAGAACGTTCCGCATCAATCCCAAACGCTCCATGTATGCTATATTTGCCTATATTGGGGTGGTGCCAGGGGGGTCATATGATCGGCATCTATGGCAGTCCCCATGAAGCGTCTGGGTTCCATATGACTCAAGACCCCAGTCTCCCGGCCTTTATGGCACTAAGAAACAAAAAGAGATCCTGTGGGATTTCTCTGGATCACTGGTTTCTGCATCGAGGTGCGCCGAGGAGGGCCGTCCTTTGCACTGGGCCGTCCGAATACTGCAACGACCATCATTACCTCTAACAATGCCCAAGTTCGTTGACTTTAAGCACCCTCACAGCTTGTCACCCAGAAAATAACAGCTTGCCCTCTGGAACCAGGATTCCCATCCAGAAGCATCAAATCAAAATACAGTAGGTAGCATCCATATTGACCATGGGGCTTCTGAGTCTTTCCGTTCGCTTCACGCACATCTCAACAAACCACACAGTTTGTTTCACCACATCAATGCTCGAATATGTTTTTTCTGTACAATTACATCAAGTTCAATTATGCATTTCCCCTCCCAGCCCATGAGAACGTGGCCTGAGTAAGGAAAACAAGGAACCGCCATTGGCGTATTCCAAGAGGAGTAGGACATTGTGCTGGTCTTCGAAGTAGTAATGGAGCTGCACAATGCCTCATTTACAGGGCGGACGCTTGAAACCAGCGAGTGGCCGAAACGGCGGCGACACACGAGGCAACGAAGGATGTTGCTGGAAACTGTCGGCAGAGTATTTCCATGTCTTCACCACGGGAAAACAAACGGCAAAGAGTTTCAGTTTTCCCAAAACCGCACACACACACAAAGTACCAAAAACAAGGTGAACAGAAAAGGAAGACCAGTTTTGACCACGATACGGACGATATGTGTCTACGTCAGGGGTAGTTGGATCGGTCATGCATGCTCCAATGGTTTTTGCATGAATGGTCAAGAGTCTCAACTCCCAGTCGAACCACCAGTTGTGTAAGGAAAAGGAGACTGGGGAAGGGACAACAGCAGCAGGGCGACAAAGTGTGGAGGGCACCTAGAAAGGACTCAAGGACCAAGTCAACCGGGTATACGCAAAATCATCGGTAAAATATGATGAACCCTTGACCCCTCCAAACAGCCCTTCGGGTCCGATCCCTCCGTATTGAGGCTCCAGGATGGTCCAGGAGCGTCTGGGAATGTCGCCACTCTCGCGCTCTTCGACCAAAGGACCGCGACGCGAGCGGAACTGCGGAACGAGGACCAGGGGACCAAAGGACCAGGAAACTCATGGACTACGCAGGGGACCTGGTCAGGATTTGTTTGTTGACGTTGATTTTTGCTGATCCTGTTTTTGTTTGATCTATTTAGATGCCTTTCAGGAAGGTGTTTTCCAAAAAGGCCTGGCTTGGGAAGCTCCCTAGAGACGTCCGAAGCCCCTCCCCACCGGCGCGTTACGCGATCCTTCTTCGCGGAGCGATCCTTGCCGCCGTCTGCCCAAAGGGGGGTGGGTAACTTCTGGTGCACCAGTGACAGTGTGGCAGGTGGTGCTCCATCAAAAGCCTATATAGCTGCCCCGCTTTTTGGAGCAAAAAATGCCGAAGGGCGGGAGACCGGGTCTGGGTCATTTTCGCCAGCCAGTCCAACGAACGGGCCCAACGACGATGTCCAGCGAAATACGTCGAACCAAGGTCTCGAGGTTGAGATCGAGAATCAAAAGAAACTATATAATGGCGATGGCCTCCACCTTGTAGCTTCTAGCTACTAGGAGCTTCTTGTTACAAGTAGCGATGGCCTCCAACCTTGCGATGGCCTCCACCTAATGGCATCCTTGCACTCGTCCTTGCTACTAGTAGCTTGTTTCCTCTAAAATCCAATTACATTCTCATACATTCTCAAAGAGCAGTTGGAACCTTCAAGCTATAGTTGTCTACCAGCAGTCACAAAGGGGTGCTTAATGGAGGTTAGGGATGCCCATTATCCACTCACTTAGGGACTAAACTAAACACCACCCCTTTGTGACTTCTGGTAACTGTGGATCTCTGGGGTGATGAGTGTGCGAGATGAAGGCCTGGGGACGAGCAGTAGGATCACGACGTAGAAGGGACCCTCATCTTGGATCTGCTGACGGAACCTGGAGGAAAAGGACACACATTCATAAACATTATCCAGAAAAGGATTTACCCAAAGGGAAGATATGGGAAAACATGGGAAAACAAAAACTCATCTTAAGCAAAACCAGGTCATGACGGGACCAACATCCTGCTTACGCTTCAGCCAAAGAAGGCACAAATAAGAGTGGCAACAGAATGGCAAACTCAACAGGGAACAAGCGGCGTTTGGTGGTGTCATTCAATCTCGTTACTTTCTTTGGTGTGTGTGTAAGTGGTCTGAAAAGCATTCCGCTGGATAAGCATTCTTGAATTCTGGTCGATGTCCGTGTTGGAGATCAGAATGCTGAGGTGCATCTTTGCAACATGCCAGGCTGCTTGCCAATCCAGGATTGATGGCAAGCATTCCCAGCAAAAAAAAAATATTTATAAGACGCTCCGGCTTTACACTCAGCAAAGTAAGAAGACAACTGCAGCCGCGACTCGCATGGTCACTGGATGCCTATCGACTTTTCTTCAAATTAAAGCTGTTCCGAAAACCCCAAGTACAGGCCCTGTCTCTAGATTATGGTCTTTCCAGGGGACTATGTAATTGAAAAACTTCCATGACTTGTAGGCGGGGAGTAAGTTTTTGGAAGCTTACTTTTCGATGCCCAGCCAAACATTTGCGCGAAATCTCTCCAAAAAGGTCTGTCTTACAGGTTGATCCCTCCTAAGGTCCCTTAGGAAAGGACACCAAAAAGCATACAATTCTCTGAAACATACCTGCCCACGTTCTATTCCCTCCCATTTTTTGTTGTTCCATTCTTTGAAGCACCGCAAACAGTGTACCGCACAATCTCCTATACATGGCTGTGGGTCATGGCACCCAGATCCCCAACCCAGGGTAGATTGACCTCCCGAGTAGGTCGTCCATTCTGTTCATTGGTCAACTGGTCCCAGGTGACCCAGTGCCATGACCCACTGTCCATCATCAGGAAACATGTGTGTCATTGTGTGTCCATGATCAAGACCAACCTGACCTTCCAGTCTCAGTTTGGGGCAAATCAACTCCCATCAACGCCGCCCACGAGTCGTCTTCCAGTGAAAGAACGACTTGTCCAAGGCGCACGGCACTGAAAAAAAGACAACTATAGAGTGGTCCCAATACACTTTGAGGGATTTACTTGTTCTATATAATATATATATATATATATATTTGGGTGTCTATATGGTATAGAGACATATAGAGATGTTGCTGTTCAGTTGCCAAGGGTCTTGTTCAGCCCCGAAGTCCCACCTTTTTTTTCGCCATGTTCTCGCACTGGATTTTCTGATCTTTTCCGGAGGACATGACCGGTCCAGTTTGGCTTCCTCCAGTGACCAGTTTGGCTTTGCGGCGGCGATGGCCGAAGGAACCCGACACTTGCGGCCATGGGTTTCTCTGGTTCTCTCTCGGCCTGAGCCGAGCGCGAGGAATCGGTGGAGCACAGCTGGATTAAGGCTTGACTCGCGGCGGCCATCTGGAAAAGGGAAGGTGTCGCATAGAGGGACCCAAATGCAAGGCCGCCGAGTGTATGCAGTTTTCAACGTTCCATTGGTTCAGGAATTGGACGGCCGAACACCACATCGCATGCTCCGAATCTCGAGCAGGTTCCTCGGACCGAAATGGAAAGCAAACGATACAGGGACTGAAATGGACCGTGTCACCGAAACGCACCAAATATGACGGTCATGAGGGTACCCATGTAGGGTAGGCCTTTTGATACCTGTTCATCATCAAAAGGCCTTTTGATACCTGTTCATTTGCTGCCTCTTTTCCTCTTTTCGATACCTGTCCTGCCCTTTGGGGGACTCCATGGATGTCCTCTTGGTGATGATGGCGGTGTCCGAGGCGGCATGAAAAAACCGACGCCGGCGAGTCTTCCTGGAACGACGTACGGGAAAAATGGTCTTCCAAAGATCCATGAAAAAGGGTTAGATGGGGGGAAACTCTCTCGGTTTTGTAGAGAAAAGAGTCTTCCATGGTCAATTTGTTGGGGCTCAATCATGTTTAGTTTTCAGAATTTCAGGGATTGTACCCATGGGAGTTCCAAAGGGGTGCCTAACCTCCCCAACACTTCAGAGGTCTATGCCGATCGGGGTGTATAAATACTAGGTCGGAGCCGAGGTCTGCGCGTGAAGTCGTCGGGTTAGAAACATGACACTCCCGACCGAGAGAGAGAGAGAGAGACAGAGAGAGAGAGAGAGAGTAGGTAGCGACACCTGGGACACTCCGACTCACCGACACTTTTGGTCGTCCAAGTGGCCATCTCAACGCTCGATATTGTGCATTTTCTTCAGGCAAATCACCTGGAATCGGGGCTTGGGAGGCCAGAAATGGCCAGAAAAGCCTTGCGACCCAGACTGGCGGAAGGGACACACAAAGTCACAGGCTGCATTTTCACCCGAAGTCACCGGCTTCTCCTTGGTGGCATCTCATATTCAGTGCAGGCTCGAAGCCCAGGGTCTGTCAATATAGACACACATCCATGCCTATGGATCCACATATCTTCTCAGAAGGCAGTTGGACCCTCCAAGCCTACATAAATAGTCTCCCTGCTCACCGTACCTCAGGTTCGGTATGTGGATCCATGACGGGCATATTTGGGCGTAATGCATCCCGTGACCATCCGTGACCGGATGCATTCTTCCCGAGCGAAAACCGGGATTCCTCGGGTCGAAATCCGGGCCCGTTGCAGGGATGGTGATGCTCAGGTTGCAGGGCCAGACTCTCTGAAATGATGGATTTGCTTCTGATTTACCGACTGTTCCGGTAGTAGGACAGACCCAACCGATTCCTATTCTGGACGTCCGAAGATCAGAACAGAATAACTAACATCTTCTTCAGTGTCTCGAATGCAGCTTCCGTTGGACATGTTTGCAATTGCAACCTTTGCGAACCAGCAGCAGCGAATGCTCCCCACCTGCACCAAACGGCAAACGAAAAACCACGAAGCAGCCGCGATGATCGCGCCCTTGATCGAGCTCTCATAACCTGTGGCAAGTGACAAATCTAACCAAAACACTTCATACCAGGACCATCTGATGGACTACCCTACACTACTCAGGGATCTCCATTGGACACCCAGACAGGATGGTGCAGGTATGGTTTGACCAACATGTACACTCTGACTCACTCAGGTGGAACGCCCCCCTGTTCGTAAAGAAAGGCCATCTTCCGGACCATGCCATCCACTTAAAGTTCCAGGGCCAAGCAAATCTGCGATGAAGTTGAGTGATGGACTATCTGGGATGCCCCAGTCGCTGTGGGTGTCATCTGTCATTGTTGGACAATCTATGTCCAGGGTTGTGCAAGCGCTAGCGGTGGCAGAATGAAAGGTGTGACAAACATGTTGTAGACTGCCAAGGATGTTTGCTGGGAAAAAGCTTTGCGGTTGTATATCTCATTAAAGAGAACTCCTGCTTCCAGAAAACATGTCCAGCCCTTGAAATCGTAGGGCCATAGCGCACCTTGCAGGGTTCTCTCATGCTCTAGGCTTTATTGGATCTTTAGACTTGCCGGCTCTTTGCAGGGCTCTGTATCTCAAGAGTCTTTCTTCAGATTGGCGATTTCTGCTCACGGATTGCGGACATGGAATCCTCGATCAAATCCCAGCGGCCGAATTGGTCAATGACGATCTGGAGCTCCATGCTATCAGTCCTTGGACAACGAGGAATTTCTCAAACAGGTTATATGCCCCGCGGCATTCTGTTGTGTCCTATGGATGACCTAGTGATTACCGAACAGTTGGAACATACGTCCCTGCCATCTCTGCAAAAATGGTGTCAACATGCCATACAGAAGTCCTCATCAAATGCGCTCAATGGAAAACACTTGGATAAGCCATATTCATCAAGTATTTGCTTAATTCGTTTATATGTGTATATATATATATATTATATATATATATTACAATATATATTACAATATATATATATGTGTAAAATCACCCTTCCACACTTTTGCCCAGCTACTGCTAAGTGACGAAACGACACAAGAGAAGTAACATCACCCTAATCACCAAAAAAAACGCCCTATCAACAATGACAACAACTACCTCTCCATAACTTAAACAAAATAACACAATTGACCGCCCAAAACCACATAAAGCATTGTTCAATGAACAATAAAAGAACTGTCATCCTGCCCGCTTTCCAACATCTAGCTATATAAATTGCCCTTGCAATCTCGTCTGACCGCTTTCCAACCATATCTATCAAGGGGTTGGAGAGCAATCGGGCATATGGATACCCCTCCTTCGCTCCCTAAGCAGCTAGATATCTAACCTCCCCTTGTCAGCCCTAGACCGTCTCCGCTGATTTCCCCAACCGCCCTACGGGCCCTGCGTTCGAAGCTCGTGCGTTGGATGCTATAGGTCAATTCCTCCAGCGTGTGCGACACCGGAGACATCTCCAAGGCCCAAAGCATAAAGGCTGGCACCGACTTCCTCGGCGGAGCCACTGGGCGGTGGGACAGCTGAGTCGAAAATGGCTGACCAGTGGACCAGTGCACCTCCAAGACTGAGAAAGCATGTTGGATGCTTCTGGATGCAAGAGAAAAGCCAGATTTGATGTTCTGAGTGCGAATATTTATTTATCTGAGATCAGTGAAATGCAGGTGGTCTACTCTTCTTTTGCCAACGGGTTTCCTGTGCACAAAGGAGGCCTACCAATAGAACTGACTCCGTCCGCTTCCCTGGAGAAGAACACGTTAACCTGCAACTATCCTGTAAGCTTTTTCCACCTGTTCTGCCTGTCTAGCCAGGTATTCTGGCCTTGCCATCGACTCTCTGGTCTGGCAGAAAACGAATGAATGTAAGGTTTTTTCCACCAGTTCGTACCGTTGTCGGGAAGCCCATGACCTCAAAAAGGCTTTGCAGGTGATCCACGTTTTTGGGGCATGTCGACTCGACTCCAAACTGACTGAGTAGTCAACTCAGCCAAGGTCGAGCTGACCTCACCTGTGGCCGAAGCTTTAAGATGCAAACTCCATCCATTGGCACCCCGAAACCCATCAGAAATCCATTTGCACCACGTTCTCCACGGGACTTGCACGACTGGGCACTACATTGACCTCTGAAGTCACCCAATGTAGGCAAATGTCTTTGGTGTTTTCGACATGATGCAGTTGTCAACCAGCCATGGGGATCGACCCTCTGACCATCTATCTGTCCCAGGTTCCTTGAGACGGTAAAGCCGTTGAAGAGCATGGCCAAGGTGAGGAAGGGCGTCAAAATAATCTGCGCACCTCATCGTCTCGTCTCAACGCGACGTCAAGGCATTTGGATTGGACTTGGTTAAAGCGCTCCCCCCTGTGGTGGATGAAGACCCACAAGACCGGAAGCAAGTCTACAGAGTCTACACCCCCTCCACAGTTTTCCAATTTGTCACATATTGGACTCGGTATTTTAGTCATTTGAAGAGGGAGACCCCTAACCCAATGGGTAGACTGGTCTATTTCCCATCTTCCAGGGAGTCGTTGCCTGGTAGGTCTCCTTATTTTAATACACAACCATTTGAGTTACCTCATGATACTAGTACCACCAGTTGTCCTTGAAAAAGCTATTTTGCTGCATCCACACGCACGTTTTCCCCCTGCATGTGAGCGGCTGCTGGCATCCTTGGCCATCGCAGCAACCATGCCGTAAAGGCTGTCCATGGCCACAAAAATCACCTCGGCTTTTCGTGGCTGACTCTCACTGACTGTCATGGCTGATCTATATACATTTAGCTTTATGAGTCATGACCCTGGTGATGAGGCATGACTCATCCCCGTTCTCAGGAACTTTACGACATGACTTCAATTAGCTCAAACAAATCCAAATTGCATCTACAAGGGTCGAGCTTAAGCCACTGCAATGGTCACAAGATCTGTTGCAGTATCGAAGGTGGTCAACACCGTCCATGAAATGGGCGGTGTTGAACAAAATGCCACCTCCTGTAGTCCCTATGCATCCCAAAACTCGCAGGACACCATGTCGGGAATTGGCATACCAATTCAAATGCTCCAAAATCGAGCAAAGCACTTGCTCCTAAGCATGCCTTTTTCCAATGTGACTTCGGCACATGACTTCATCAAATGATCCTTTGCTTGGATGATCCTTTGCGCAACCGAAAAGAACATGATGGGACATGTCTCCCTGTAAGAAGTCACCCCCCAGCGGAGGACCAAAAAGCATAGAGGCCATCCATGCACACTCAAGACAACCAGCTTGGTCTTCGGCCTTTTCCAGTCTCGCACCACCCATCTGGGGCCTCCCAAACCGGTGCCCTTCCTTCGCCAAATGACACTGTTCCACAGCAAAACGGCTGGGAAGACCTCCCACTGGAGCTTGCTGAGGATGAAGACCACCAGGACCTAGAGCTGAAAACGCCCTCCAAAACGGGCGCGTCAAATCGCATTGGTGGCACATGAAAGGAAGCACTTTTTGAACAACATCGATGGCTACATGGAGTGAAACCTGTTTGGTCTTCGGCCACCGAAACCGGGACCAATGTCATTCACTTCGCGTGGTGATGTCGTGCGTTTTCTTTTTTTTTCTCGAAGCTTCGATCCAAGGGGCCCTTCGGGGAGTGACCCTTCAAGGTCCAACGGACGTGCTCTTCCCTCCCGTTGTATCATGACATTCTGGTGTCCACGCAAGGCCCGTGAAACCGCACCATACGGACCATAACACGAATCAAGGGAACTAGGGGTGTCAGCATCCTCTCCAGTGGGCATGGACAATGTCACAAGTTCCTCCGCCTCTCCTGCATGCTGCAGTAGTAGTAACAAGATGTAACAAGTACATGCCGGGCATCATGTGAAAGGGGAAAAAAGGATAGCGAGTAAATTGATATTTGAACCTCCGGCATCACCTGCATGGCATCTGTTCTTTGCATGCACCCTGCCAAGCCCATTGATAAATTCAATTCCGTTGCACGCTCGGTGATCTCCGAGCTGCAAAAATCGAATTGGACAGGACCGAGACGATGCCATTCAGAAAGGTGAAGGACAGGATGTAGGCCTCACAACTGCAACCAGCAGCTACGGCGAAAGGCGAAAGTCCCCTGATGTCTCTATTTTAATGATGTTTGTTCTTGGTTGGGCCATGGAACATAGTGAAACCATTCCAAAGCTGAGGGTGATATCTTGAGTTCTTTCTTGAGTTCGGATTGGACCGTGAAGGGCTTGGTGTGCGTTGAGAATCGGAGCGGCCCGTCAACGCCGGTCCTGCTGTGGTTCTGCCTCTTTCAGAACCCGAAAATGGGAACTCACTTTCAGAACATGGCCTCTGAAGAGGCCTCTCAAACACAGTCTGATTGATCTTGTGCTTTCAATCTCTTTCAATGTTCAGAAAAGAAGCCTTATGGATTATGGATTGCGAGCGTGCTTGGGATTTCCGAAGGGCTTGGGCTGCACCTGCCTTTCAACATCTTTCAACGACTCTTGCAAGAAGCGTCTGCAAAACCTGACCGAATTACATCTCCTGTAGGTAGGCTGAGCAAAGGTTTCGGAAATTTTCCAGGTATGGTCGTGCATTTCGGTTGTTTCACCCCTATAGAATATATCATACATATTGATACATAACTTGTCAACCTCAACTTACCCTCTTCTTGAGCCCATATTGGAAAAGCGACCCAATTGAACTCAAACAGTTTCGATGAATCCCTCCCAAGTCTTGGGAACCTGCATCCTGCAGGCACAACATCCGGTGTGGTGAGTGAAACATCCCAACCACGCGCGCATCGCCATCCGACTCTGCATGAGAAACTTCACCTCTGAAACACAGGGGAAACAAATAATGCGACATGACTCCATGTTGAACCAGACCCAGAAAGGCATGTATGACACCTCTTTCGGTCGGATGCCCACCCAACCATCTCGAGTCAAACATGTTTCGACCAAACGAGGTGCCCAGTCGTTGTAGAGAACCTCTGAAACTTCCATCTTCATCACCTTGCTGTGATACGCATGTGTCGAATCCCGAGGTTGGTTTCCTTCCCAGACTCAACTCATGGGACTGTTACACACATAGAACCACATGAAAGTTCCATACATGGAGTATTTGGGTTTAGTCTTTTCATCTCCTTCTTTTGTTGCAGTGGCCCTGCAGAACTTCCAATCTTCAGGTTCTGAGCGGATGGCATCCCAACATCTTCCGTTCGCAGCTCTTGCTGCCACCCAAAATGACCAGGCGAACGAACCGATCTGGGTTCCATCGTCGTCGCGAACCGTGCCGATGCGGCAGAACGAACGGATGATCCTCGAAGTTCGGCCCCCACGGTGTCACGACCCAAAACCGCACACCATGGCACAGGATCTGGAGTTCTGGGCTGGTTGCTTGAGGGGAGGCAAGAACGCCCAAAGCCAGGTAGGAACATGATGGAACATGTAGCAATCACCTAGACTATTATAAAGCCCCCCAGTTGAATGCGCTCAGCCCCCATCATATGGGGGGGCTTGTTTTCACAAGATTCCTACATGATTCCTACATATATGCATCGCCAGGTCGACCATGTGCGGAGGGTGTTCACCTCTTCCGAACGCATCGGCCGTGCTCAGCTCCCCATCGGCCGATGCCAGGCGTCCGCACCGTTCGCTCGCTGAGTGCCTTGGGCATGACCTTGATGCCACTCAGTGCGCAAGTCATGATGAGCATGAAGAAGAAACCCGCCTGGTTGTAGCCTTGGAGGCGCAGGGTATTGTAGTTGTATCTACCAATTTAATCATTTGATCCCATACCTGTGACTTGCTGCAGCTTTAATCTGCCTGGTGGTCGACTTGCAATTGGACAAGAAAGGGTCATAGACCTGTGACTTTTGTGGGCGACATGCTTATGGTGAGTTTTTGTACAAGTCAGCCACGTCTCGTGACCAGACCTGGAGCCAGAGCTCCATGGACGTAATGCAGGCTGCTGTTACAACTCTGGAGCCTTGGTGAAACACCTCAACAATTCTACCTCAATAGTTATAGTTAACCCCTGATAACCCCTCAGAGGTGACTCGGGGTGTCCGAAAAAACACAAACACATCCCTTAAATAACCCGTGGTCTTGCTGGTAGCTGTGACAGGTACCGGCCGCGGCGGCCACAGCAGCTGGCCGCGCAGTTTTGGGGATGCTTGCCACGAGGGCAGCGGACAACTCTCAAAGGGGGATGATCTCAGGACTGAAGCATCCCTAAGGTACAACAAAACTCTAAAACGAGAAGCCGACGCATCGACGGAGTTGGTGGGGTTTGGCTTCGAAACGCAAGGAAGACGAGCGTTTAGGGGCACACATGGGCATATCTACATGCATGTACATACATTGGTGGTTGATAGACCCGGGGTCAATGTTGGCATGTATGTATTCGGTCGTGTCTGGGAAAGGGTTGCCCTTGCTGCTCCCAGACTTCAAGTTCTCAAGGCCAGGATGGGCCTCGCCTCAGTCGCCCCATCCCTCTGCGGCTGAAGCTCCGCTGAAGTTGCCGATGCCAATGTTAGCACTCCCCACCAGTAAGCCTTGCCTGCAAGAGTTGACAGGGCGCGCAGCTGGACGCCCACAAGCCCCGCAAAGCTAACGCCAACAATGCGCGCATGTGATGAGAGCACAATCACAGATCCGGAATTGTATGGGAGCCATAAACCATAGAGCAGTTTTTGCTATGTGTACATATATGTGCTCTTCGATGTGTCTTATATGACATTCAAATGATTCACAATTTGTTGACAAAAGATCTTCACAATAGTACATGCATGCCCACCATTGATGGACAAACACAGTACCTCCCGAAAATAGAATAGATGCCATGTCTATCAATTTGGACAATCCATCGGCCACCCTATCTGCTTAACGCGATCTTTGCGCCAGGTGGCACAATGGCCACCAAGATGTCAGTGATAAGACCTTGTTGATCCCGAACCTCAGCGAAGGTAACACGTGTCACCGGTGCGTTTCACCATTGGTCGGCTGGCGTTTCAGACGGAGAGTTCTGATGTAGGCCCCAAACCTTTGTTTCAGAAAGGGTAGCTTGTTACAGTGGTTTGAGAGAACATGGCACAATCTCCAAAAGGTGGTTTACACCCATCTAATCTAAAGTCATCTTGGGGTTTGCGCCATCTACTCTGAAATCATTGTACATGATGTGGACCTTCTGGTGTCAAGGCAGTATTTGCCACCATGGACCTGAACCCCTTCCCTTCACCCTCCACGCGTGATGCCGTGATGCTACGTCGGACTGCCAAGGACTCCGCGCCCCCAGCCCCCCACGCCCGCACCAGATCTGCAGCGCCGCCAGGTGGCCAGTAGCCGGAGCTGCCGGCAAAAGACTTTGAGAAGTTGGGTCCGGAAGCGGACGCCATAGACGCTCTTTCCTGTGGAAGGCGGCCCGCGACGCGAGGACGCGAAATGCCGGGGGTCCCGTGACAGCTCCCAGTCTCAGTGACGGAAGGAAGCGGGCCACGGACGGTGGCAGCTTTTGGAGTGGGGGCAGCTGACCAAAACAAAGAACTGGAATCAAATTAAAGAGATTCTGGATCATGTTGTGGCAACCAGCTGTATAAGCAAACTGTACTTCACTAATGACTATAACCTATAGCTACTAGTGCATCTCAACGGGCACTTCTTTTGCCCAAACTGATTCTCCATAGTGGCTAGCCTCGTCATGTGACTTCCGCTCCAAACGGTTCATCGTTCACATCCATTCACCCGGGTGAGTTGGTCCTTACGGGGACACCCAGAACTAAGTCCAGTCTGACTAGAACCTGGGTCCGTTCCTGACTGGTTGCTTTTTTGGACCAACGCCCATGGGGTCCAGTCAGGTCCTGACCGATGGTCCAACGTCCAAGCGGTCTGCGTTGAACCACGTCGGGTCATCGGTGCCAAGGCTCGGAGTGGAGGCATGTCTCCATACCTGCGCAGGTCGCTGCGGGTTGTGCGCCGAGGAGTGATGGTCGAGTTGAATGCACCTTTCTCTTCGATCAGAACCTTTTGGAAACAGGTGTTGGCTGATAAATAGTTTGAACATGTTTGAACCATACTTCCACATAGTATCGACATGTCCCACGCCCCCTGCTTTATCCTTCGGATTCGCACGAAGCTGGATGTTTTTTGCCCAAAGCCCTTTGAAAACCATCATTACAAAACAGGGGTGAGAGAACCTGGCTTTGTATCCTAGAATCTAAAGTAAAGCAAGCCTTGACCCATGAAAAGGCATTTGTAGACACTCGTATATTTTGGGTATATATATATATCCCATTCCCAGTAACAATTGGACTATAAAGGTCCACGCGGGCAGAACCAACCTGGAACGTTTGGACGGCGCCTGGTGAGGATCTCTCGTCGATCATTGAGTAGCTGCCATGAGGTCGGCCTCCTTGGCACATGCGGGGCTTCAGGGTGTATAATACTTATAAAATCTTATAATATTATATATCCTTGCAGCATTTGCACATATTTGTACCACTATGGTAGGAAACCAGTTAGTGGCTCCGTCAGGGTGTATACACCTGGAAAATTATGGACATGTTGATTCTCCATACCTGGGACCTACTGGAAATGCTGTGACGAACTTCCCCCCGCCCACATTTCAGACGGTGAACGTGACAAACAGCGGCCCTTGCAAGTATAGTGATATTCCCCATTTGGACTGTTGCCCGTCCTTGTTCACGAAATGTTCTGCCGCGACAGGTTTGAGTACAGTATGTGTTTCTGGTGAAAAACGCACTAGGACACTATGACAGTGAAACCAAAGAACCAAAAAACCATAAGTCTGAATCTATGTCATGGTGCTGGTTTGGCAAAACCCAACAAATTGGCCACAATACGCATTTCGCCATTTCCGTGGAAAAATCCAATGGCTCCTCCCTTGCATCTGGGTGTCACCCTAGTGGGGAAACCAGCAACCAGTCCAAAAAAAGAGGTGGCGCGATCACTGTGCATAGACTTGCAGCTACATAGCATATATGGGTGGTGCATTTGAATTGGGAACCCCCCTGGCCCTGGGTGGGTTTGAACCTCCCAGGCGTCGTTGCCTGGGAGGTCTCCCTATTTCACACCCACATCCATTCACAGGACCTTCTCGAAAAAGGACATAGACCACAACCCATTGCTTGGGTAACACGACTTCCGGACAAATGTCACTCGTTCGCCGCCCCGAAAGTCCCTTCCCGTGTATTACGGGGCCTGGAAGGGCCCGAACATTGTACATTGGAACTATAGATGGAGTGTGAAGCTACGAGTTTGTATGTGCGGCCAGGATGGGAAGTGGACAAACAACTATGCATCATGGGTCACGAACCTATACTTGGGAAAGGGATCTGGGAGGTTATCCAGGCCTCCTTGCGTGCGAATGAATTTGTAAGCGCGATCCTTAAGTGCACACCGTTGTTTGAACGCAATCTCCGTTAGGGTGTCGCACTGAACTTGCGGCACCAGATTATCGAGTCGGATGGGATGATCTGTAGAGAATGGTGGATCATGTTTTTGTGACAGCTGGAAGCTATTGATTGCTGCCATGGTCTTGGCACCATTTGGTATAGGATAGGTCGGCTGGAGATGCCTGCTTTACAGTAATTGTATTGTCAAAGCCCAAAGCCGCCATGCTACCTGCACGTGTCTTCTTATAACGCGGAAGCAGTTTATGTTGCGAAAAGGTTGCCAGGTGTTGGAGTACGAGTCGAAGGCCCGTTTCTGCTTGTTGTCGCTCTCGGCCTGTCGCACTTGGGCGGTAACAGTTGGATGCGGGTATCAGCAAGTGGAAGGGCCTCGACGTACCGCCATGGCACCCTCCATACCGGTATAGCACAAGAACGACACAGCCAGTTCATAACAGCTTATACCAAGATCACCTGCAAGTGGTGCTGTTGCCGGGTGCCATTTGAGTGTGGACATGTGTCGCAACGTTTGGCGGATGCTACTGTGCGACTCCATATGCAAGTTTAAAAAACCATAGGCGGTGTGGGTTGGGCAAGGGCAGACTGGCGGCTGACACGGGTGACCACTGTGCAAGTTGTTGGTTGACACGTGCGTATGTCAAGGCAATGACTGCATCACCAGTTTTGGGATGGACATTACGTTTTTGAAGCCGTACATAGGCCTGAGAATGGTGCGGCGTTGGGTTGACGTCCGCTACAAGTCCAGTGTGACCAAGCAAAACCGGGTCTTTGACCTCTTCGAGTAGTGCTTTTGTATGACAAACTGCAGTAAAATGGGGTCTTTGACCGGTAGGGCGTAAACAATCATCGCTTTTTGAGTCATGGAGTCATGCTGGTTTGAGAAACTTGGCAGATTTCCCCCAAGTCTGGATCCAAGCGCAACAGAAGCACCGAGTGCGACAAACGTACCCGGAACGATTGCTGCTCAGCATCTCATAATTCAGCTCCACGTTGACTTGACTCTCGATCTCCGGCTTGGCCGTTCCTCGTGTTCTTCGCATCGCGTTCAACGCACAGTTCCAAACACGAGCGACTTGGAGGACCGTTCCAGAACTGATTTCAAGGGAGGATGTCACCGTATGTCACTCCCCCGGGAGGCCAGGAAGATGGTTTTCCGGTCTGTTCTCTCTCCCTGAGTCTAGGAATTGCTGACTGAAGTGATGACAACGATGGTCGAACTGGACTTCTAAGGGTTATGTTTGTTCAGCAAGTTGCTTCTTCCATCTTATTTGTCCAATCCATGTGGCCCATGCAGCCAGCGGGTGGGATTGCCCTTGTGCTGGAACCTTGGGACTACGACCGGGTCTCCGCTGGGTCGCCTTTGCCCATCAGTCACTGGTGGAGCGCACGTAGAACCTCCAGGGCCCTTCCTGAAACCTGTGAAGAAAGCACTTGAAGGTACAAGAGGTATACAAAAAGAAACATAATCAATGTGACATCAAATATATTGAACTCTGATGAGGGCCCCAGTGCAAAGCAACTTCAACATGGCCTAATATATACACTCAAGTCTTAGGGCACACTTGGGCACACTGTCTGGAACCAACTTCTTCTCGACGGACCGGGTGCAAAGCCAATTGCTGAGGCTCTACTGAAGTAATCCAGGAAGTGCTGCGCTTGCGAGTCCTGCCATGAAAAAGCACGGTCAAAACTCAGGGATTTTTGGATTGGGAACCAGTTTATTTCAGGGGTCTCCCCGGCTGGAATGTTCATTTGATTTAATTTCAGGGTTTCATGGGCCATGCCAATCACATGTTTGGAGAAGAGCTGGGGGGGTCTGGGAATGTCACCATTCTGCATCAGGAGGGTGTTGGAATTCATCCATCAGTAGAGAGCATTGCGATTGCGTTGGAGGCCCTTAAAAATATATTTTAAAAAAACACATTTCACCAAAATGGATTTGGACAAGTGTTTCGAGCGTTTCGAGACATCCCGCCACTGTTCCCAGGGGCAGTGTGGTGAACAGGTTTCCTTGATAACTGCAGGGTTTGAACTTGTTTAGCTTGCTTCCTTTTACACCATTAAATTAAGACGACCAAACACCTTCCCAAACACTCAAATCCACAAAAGACCTCAGTCCCGGGCGCTTCCAAGTCCCGTACCCCCGAACCAATCACCACTTGGAGAACACCTCCCCTAAAACAAAAACAACACCTTCCCAGTGACCCTTTTGAGATCCCAAAATGAGGTCTGCAAGTGACCACAATCCCGAAGTTCAGCCCAAGTCGGTCACTCTATGAGGCTGGACAGGAGTTGGCTGGCTGTTGGTTTGGGCCATTGGGACAGGCGCACACGTCGAGCCTGCTCTTTCCCAAAGCAATCCATTATATGGAATATTAACCCAAAAACTTGGTCAATGTTGGTAAATATGGATTGTTGTTTTTCCCCAGAGAGCTGCAGGCTATGGGGGCTTTATATAACTTTTTAATGGTGTGGCTCTGGATCGACGTTTTGGTTTTGCGTCCTGCTGCCATGCTGATGCAGGTCCAGCTGCTGCCGTGCTGATGCTGGCACAGGTGCAGATGCTGTCTCTGGATTGGCGTTTTGGTTTTGCAGGTGCTGCTGCCGTGCTGATGCTAGTGCAGGTAAAGGAGCTGGCTCTGGTGCAGGCGCTTGCTCTGGATCGGCGTTTCGTTTTGCGTCATGCCAGGGGTGACATCATGTGTCATGCCCAGAATGAAATCACGTCATGCCAGGGGCGACATCAGGTCATGCCAGGGATGACATCGTGTCATGCCAGGGGTGACATCGACATGCTGTCATGCCAAGGATGACATGCCTTGGGATGACATTATGTCCTGCAGCAATGATCATCATGTCGTCTGGGCAGTTTTGGCTGGTCCTTGCCGATCTTGCAGTTTTACATCTGTGCTGGGCAAAGCGAGCGCATTCAGCTGATAGATGTTGCGCATAGTGGTGGAATGGTCTGATGTTGCATGCTGTGATGACAGCCGTCAGCAGCGTGTCCTTGAAACCCATACGCCCGCCATCTGGGGTCTATGCCGGTTGTCTCCCCTCCTCACTGAACATCTCACGTCGATTCGTCCGCTCCTCGCCGCCAGGGGTCACCAAATCCAGGAAGTAGTCCGTGGGCGAGACCAAGGTGGGCACTGGAAAGCCAGCATTGCCTCAAGGGGTCCGCCCCATGAAACCCTGGCAGCTCGAGGCTGCGAGGGGAACAAAAAGCACCCATGAAACACGGGGCTGGTTTGATGCTTCCCAAGGTTGATGTGTTGGACATGGCTTGGACATGATAGTTGGGGGGTGTTTTCGTCACAGGAGGGCCCCTTTCAGGGAAGCTGCCCGCGTTTTTCCACGGCTCTTGGATAAAGAAGGCCAGCAGTCAAGGTGAAATGGTCCCGATATATTCCAGGAGGCGACCACACAGGCTGAAGAACACTACAAGCCAACCCATATATATGACCCCAGGCGACGGGTCCTATGTACGGTCACTGGCTACCTCTCTTCCTGGGCGCATTCCCAGGCACTCCAATACTCTGCGGCATCTCTCATGCGGCCGTTGTAGACCTCGTTTCACGCGGCGCGCCGGTGCTGTTGCAAAGCGTCGCATCCCGAAATCCTCGGGTTTTTCAGTCAGGGGCCATGTTGGAGTCCTCCTGACATGAGACAGGTTGAAACATATCACATATCCAAGCTTGCCTTGATGGTGGTGAGCGGTCCAAACAGATCGGAAAAAACAACATTGAAAAACGGATCAAATCCCAATCACAATATGCCAAACAAATCAAACAACAAATTCAATTTCAAGTGGAATTATCAGATTGAAGAAATTTCATTTTTCATCCATGTTCCATCATTGTCCACCGGAAAAAAAAACTCCGAAAAGCTCGCGTCGCTGTGGGGTCTGGTGACCGGACGAGGGGCAGTGACCCCAACAACGAATCCATGCACAAAACACTGTATCGATTGGTGTAAGTTCTTCCCTCCAAACAGGGGGCGCCTTTAAACAAATATCAGAACGACAACTATGGTGGTAAACACATGGTACCAGGACCCTCCTGTCGGGGTGTCCTGGCTGGACTACCCCACACTACCTATAGGCTTCCAGACAGGGCACCCCTTAGAGGGTCCACACATGTTCGTGTACCGATGCTTGGCCGGTTCGGAAACGGACATCGAGGCGCCAAGTCCCCAGGATTGGCGGTGAGCAGGAGCAAGTGATCAAAGAGAACGGCCACCTGAAGCAAACTGAGCAGCTGGAACTCGAAGCTGAAATGAAGCTCAGCTGAAACTCATATAGCATTCTTTCTTTCAAGTGATTTTGAGGATGAGAACATGGAAGGTCACTGATAGACTACGGATACGGATATTGCCCCGACATGTCCAACTTGGATGCCAAAACCATCCAAAACCCCCTCCTGGTCAGCAAACTTCTGCTATTAGGTGGGACCTGTCAGCAAACCTTCGTAGATTTGGCATATTTGACACTCTTGAGTCTTCCCCCTTCCTCCAGGTTCTTGGTGACTCAACCTCAACCTGGTGAAAAAAGGCCTCCTGTCGCGGCTGATGAATCGCCAAAATGATGGTGACGTTGTACTTCTTGCATAGCAAACCTCAGTCAAGTCCGCCCCCAGTGCTCCCTCAGGCAGTTTTGTGAAACACACATCGATGTTCCTCATTCCAGGCTCGGCGTTGCTAAGCAACCCCTTTCCATGTGTTTCCGTCCGCACGACCACCCACCTGCCCTTCAGCCAGGAAAACGCATGTAGCGCACACATTGCTCGGCGTCGGTAGCACTCAACCTGGCGGGGTCTCAGTCTCACATCGAGCTCGCCCATGGGCGAGAACATGGTTCATGGAGAGTCAGTGGCCCGAGAAATGCACTGAAGAGCCCTCTCAAAAACCTGTTGGGCATTCTAAGGGAATAAAACTGAACAAGAAACTTCCCAAAGGATCGATTCTCCAAACTGCGTGATGCTGATCGTTGGTGGGTTAACTATCAGCAAAAACCCTCAAAATTGGTCTGATGAATGCCTCAAGTCCGATGTTATTATATAGGTAATTCTTCGGGGCACTGAAACAGTGTGTATGAATGCCAATTGATCCTCAGGCCCTGACATACCTGGCCATACCATGGACCTCCAGCACATCCTGCTTTGCACACGTCTCCCTGTCTCCCTTCACCCCATTGGCTCCCCGGACCCGCTGGTTGGCTCGTCGCAGAAGAAGATCTGCGCGCCCGTGGCCAAGCCGCAGGCGAGGCTCACGCGCCTTCGCTGGCCGCCTGAGAGGCTGGCCGCAGGCGACCGAACTGGTCGTGGGACGGGGACGTTTAGGCGGTTTTTGGGGTAGGCCGAAGCCGGACTGTTGGTGAAACAGTTGCAGAAGTGTTGTGATTTTTGTCAGCTTAAGGCTTAAGGTCTTAAGGTTGCTGGGAGGCTCTCACACACGCACACCATCACACACACACAGTCCAAGGAAATCAAATAGGCAGAGTGTCATTTCCAAGGAAACGTTTGTTTCGCATGTCGGATGCACCGACAGTTCATCTGCACAAAGTGTCTGTGCACCATGTGCCGGCATCTTCTCATGTGACATGCACATGAAAGCCTTTCACATCATTGTCACCCTTCCTCCTATATCCGCCAACCCCGGCCTAGCTAACACCTAGGCGGGGCGGCACCTGGGACCTCCGCAGGGTGGAGCCCTTACAATATGGTCACTCGAATACACACGTTCACCTTTCGCACGCCGTGTCAACCTGAGGCCGGCCTGGCATGGCGTGGCATTCGTTGGTCAAACGTTCACTCCTTTGACCTTCGGACCTTTGGGAGGCTCCCGGCAAACACCAATGAAACTAAGCTCACTGAAATAGATGATGAAATCAATCATCAGGAGCACTGTTTGTAGAGGAACATGGTCCAAGTGGTCGTTGTCTTCCTTTACTACCTCAGGGAGCATACCACTAAGTAGGGGCCACCGACGATGGAGCCGACCATTTCAGCCGTTTTCGGCGGCTCCGGCGCCTGGATGTCCGCCCACCTCCCAGGACGAGAAGCACACTCCGTGGCGCTACGCGCCGGGGCGCTACGCGCCTCGTCTAGACCAGTGGGCTTCCCCACGTCAGCAGCCACTAGTAGCACTATAAGCGCTTTGCTCCAAACATTTATATGTAGGTGCTGACCAATCACTCCCGCCAATGCTGCGCAGGCGGCTGTGACAGCATAGGCCAGCCGCTCTGCGTCCAACATACTTTTGAATCAACTCCACAGTGTTCTGCTCCGACTTGGACCGAAACGAGAGCAAGAAGGACATGATCATGACGTCATACGATGGCGTTCTAAAGCATCAAATCCGTTCGCACGTCCCTGAAGCCATGCCACTGAGGCACTTCATGCCACCTTCTCGGCTGGCTCACATATTTGTCTGGCCAACTTGGTTTCGGTCTGCGTCGCCATATGAGAAGCGGAATCAGCATGGATCAGCCAGTCGTACGAAAGGCCAACTGCATCATTTGATCACCATTCGGTTTTGTCGAACGCAATGGCGGTGTGCTTCCAAAGATGTTTCAGGGTTGGTTGGTTTCATCTTTTCTCCGGTCATGTGGCTGGCTTGAAGTCTTCTTTTTCCGGGTTATGCGGTCCCAAGTCCTGCAGAATCTCTGGGCCCCCGTGTTCGGCAAGACAGTTTTCTTGTTTACTAAGACCTTGTTGCTTGTTTACATGGAGAACGAGAAAGTCCTCGGCTGACTCCTGAGTGAGCAAACAAGTCGAAGCTGGGTAGTCTAGAAGTTCTTTATTGACTTGCAATCAGGAGGATCAAATGGACCAAATGAAGACTTTCTATAGAGCCTTGTGGTGGCCATTTACAAATTGACTAATGCGTGCCTTAAAATAATCTGGAACATGTTTGGAACACGTCTTCATCAGCAAGGTCGATTGCTGTACCGATCATCCAAAAGGCCCTCATCTTCAACACGACTCATTCTTTGACGGGATCCTGATCCAATCATCTATCCCTAAACCTCCCGGCCCACATCCTCGGAAGGTAGGGACTGATCCCCCAAATACACCTCAACCACCTTCGAAACGGAGCTCGTTGGAGCCCTAGGGCTTACCATTCATAGCTATCGACGTATGCTATACGTCTCCTGGGATGTGCTTCCGGAACCGAAAACAAATCGTTCATCATATTTCCCCCAGGCCAAAGGTGATTTATATCAGGAGGAAAAGGTGAATTTAATGCAGGACAAGGTGATCTAATATAAGGAAAAGCAAAGAACATTGCAGGAAAACACCATGTCTTGGATGCCTTGCCACCCGATATGCCCCCCTTTCCACGTCGAAATGAAAGCTCGTCGAAACGAAAGCTCTCCTCGCCTGAAATCCCGCGGTTGGTGTCGCTGCCAATGTACTCGTGCTGGACCCCTTCCAGCCCGACAGCGCGCAAGCGAAGCTCCGTGGCCTGCGAGCTGCGAGCTCGTGGTGGCCTCCGAGCCTCAAAGAAATGCCATGTAGAAGACCATCCTAGGCCTAGAAGCCTAGGGCCTAGAAGTAACGGAAGTAAATAGAATCTGAAACTATCCAAGGACATGAGAAATCTATCCGATTGGTTTGGGGAAACTCCCATCTTCTATCTGCTCCAGGATGACCGTATACTCTGACTCACTAATTACCATAGAGCTGGACACCTTGCTGTTTTTGGAGGAAGTCGTCTTTCAAGGGACCATGCCATCCACTTCCATGGAACGTGAGAGTGTAGAATGTGTGGGTCTACTCGGTAAGATGCACGGGTAAGTGGTTGGTATGTTAGACTTGGCAGACTTCTAGAACGATCCGTTTGCTAATGACAAAGTGCTGTGATCCTCTACACCATGGGGTTTGCCATCCGTTTTGAGACAACAACAATGTGTGAGTAGGTACAGTTCAGCATTTAATTATATATATAGTTCTATACAAAGCACTTTGCTTCTACAAATTCATGGAGCCCTAAGGTCTTACGTAGGATCTGTCTGGCCATTGTATAACTTTCTCCATGTGCTCAAGTATATTACTCCAATCGACGTGGAGCTTCAGCGGACTGTTCTCCATCATCCCATCCGGCCAAACGGTGGTTCTCTTGCGTGTGGTCGTCACCAATTAGAGCGTCCAGCGTATTCCAGCGTCGAACTGCGAACTCCATCTGGTCGCTCAACGAGAGATAGGTTGCTCTGCCCGTGTCGCCTTTACCAAAGGGCTTCAGCCAATCACCCAGGCCGCTCGTGCGAAGATGAGAAACCAACCCCGCCAGAGTCATCCCAAATCAACTTACAAACATCCCCTCTGATAGGCGATCTGCTCCCCTACAGTGATCCAATGAGTTATGAGATAGATAGATAGGTGCGGTGGTTCTGGTGGGCGCCAAACTCTGACCCAACGCATACCCCAAACAGGGATGGATCAAAACCACCTGGAGCCCGACCAGTCCGGAGTCCACCAGCCGCAGGCCGGTCCACCGGCCGGTCCCCTGGTGCGCCAAACACCTCCTTCTCGAAGGAATCGCAGTGGGAGTTTGGTGGATTTGGTGCTTGAAGATCTGGAATCCACCCCAGATCCCAACTCCCTACAAAGGTAGCCAGTGACCGTAAATAGGACCCGTCACCAGGCTTAGGGGTACCCAACTAGGACAATCGAACTAGGGTTCTGACCCTGCTGGTCCACACGAAGTGGGGGTGGTCTTCTGGAGTGGAAACCTTATTCCACCCGGTCCGGCCCCCCACGATTCACGCACCGAGACTGGTTGTGTGGACCTTGGAGATCATAGCCTTTGACACGGCATAGGGCACCTGCACGCATGCGTGTCTGCGCTCGAACGGAGTAAGGAACGGCAAGAAGCAGTGCAACGCAGCGCGAAACGAACCCGGTTGACTCAAGTTGAAACCAACTATGTTCGAGTTCAGCTGGGAGTTGTGAGGGTCTACTATACAAGCGGATGTGTGACGATGCGTGCATCAACCACCACCATTGGTCAATGGGAAGGACCCAAGGCGGGACACCACTGGCTTTCTTGAAAGGAACCCACTTGAAGGGGTTTCAAATCGGAAAGTACCGGGACTGCATGAGAGGATGACGTGGATCGAGATGGATGGGTGCCAAAAATGACCTATGTCGCAAACACCATATGAGCAGCGGACAAAATTACTTGTGTAGCGCAATACCATTTGACATGATTATCGTTTTTGGTGGGGTCCATATCGTTCTCCAATGTTTCTCCAAACCGTAGTTAGCATAGCATACCAGCACATAGGCTAAAACAAAAAATATGACTCACAACCTCAGATTAGAGGCTTACAGTGCTTTCTGCACAGGAATGGCACAGCACTTGATTTATGCACTCGGACCAACACTAGTAATGTGGAGAAGTAGGTCTACGGAGTGCCTGGCGTGACATTTAGGTCATCGTTCGCTTATCGTTTGGATTATCGTTTGGGAAGTTGTCTGGGATTATCATTGATGAAAAGAGGTGCCCATCGGTTTAGCTCAAATATGCTCAAATAAACTTGCAAATGCAATCGCATCTGGTAACCACAAACATCTTTGTACCCACTACATCTTAACAAGATTATCGTTTTTGGTGGGGACCATATCGTTTTCCACAGAAACAAAGCCCTCAACATAGGTTTAGGGTCATGCCGTGACTAAATAAGTCAGCCAATAATTTTGTCCGTCGCTCATATGCAGAAAAGGATGCAGGGTCTGTGAGGAAGAACGCATGAACACGATCTCTTTTGTATTTGTCTATCTTTGTCTTCCATAGTTGACAGGGCGGCAAAATGGGAAGAGTAACCGAGAACCCTGAGAGTCCAAATGACTCATCTAACAGTAGTAGTAGTAGTAGTAGTAGTAGTAGGGTAAAATAAGTCATTGGAAGTTCTCGGCTGGTGAGTTGTTATATGCATGATTGTTATACCCCTTTCCAACTTCCATCAAAACATCGAAGCTTCTCAACAATCGGAGCGTCATTTCCTTGCCGCGAGTGGCACTCAAGGTGGTGAGGAGCACGGAGAATGAATGCCGATGGTGCTGCAACCACAAAACATGTAACGGAACCGGAATGAGTTGCGTAAAACTTGATCTTCCTGTCACACCCGCTTGCAGGGCAAAATGTAACTTTACCTTGCAAGGAGGGAAGTCATAAGAAGAACAACAACAACAACACCAACACCAACAACAGCAGCAAAGGCAGCAGAAACAACAAAAGGTATACAGTACAATTTTGCATGTTGTCACGACCAAACGTCCAAGTTCAACACATCTCAACAAATCCGAGCATCCCTTTTCAAAAGTGTTGACCAATTTTTCTTCTTGCCACACACTTGGGGTATCTTGGGGTATATAAACTCTTGATTTACAAACCCCCATACGAAAAGGCTCTACATGGCTTTACAATCCAAATGATCCATGTCAGGCGGAGTCTTCATCAAGGGCCTATCGGGGCCCCCTGTTTCGGGGTGTCTATATAATTATACCTCAAAGGTCACAGTAAGGGGCGTCCATGAAAACCACCCCTGAAAGGAGGCCCTGGTATATAGTATTGGAGTTGGGATCTATACCAGCTGCTTCCGGGCTAGGGGTCACCTGGCTGGATATCTCCACACTACGTAAACAGATCTCCTACTCCAGGGCACCCTGACAGGAAGCGCTAGGTAGTCCACAGTCGAACCCGGATGCCTAGACCGCCCATGACCGAAAGCACCGCATCGTGCTTGAATAACAAGGGGGTGTGTCAAGGAATGATTGATTTGCAGTGGTCACCTTTTCAGTCCTTTGCATTTCCTTTGATGTCCTTTGATGTCCTGTTTTTTCGAAGAATGAGAATGCAATCCTCCGGACTGGACCACTCCGGAGAGGCACTTCGGTCTTCAAGACCGTGTGGAACATCACCTGCTCCTTCACCGTCACGTTGGGGAACATGATGTCATCCTGCCGTCGTTCCACCCCCGCCGGCCGCCCTGGCCTCCTCAGGTTGGAGTGGGTAGAAGGGGGGGGTCGACCCGTACCGAACATTGACCCCGGGTCAACCACCCCAAATGTAGGTAAATACATGTAAGTATGCAATACATGGAGTCCTGGAACTAGTCATGGAGTCCTGGAACTAGTCCAGTGTTTGGGATACCTCCAATAGCTTCCCAACGGTTGTTGACAAAGTTATATATTCCTCATTCCACTTCTGCGCGAAGCAAGGCCTCTTGGCGCCTCTTGGCCGTGCGGCCGTGCAAAGTCCAAGATTCTTGAACTTGCGACTTCAATCATTCGTGAGTGGGACACAAATGGACCAAAGCATGTCTCTTATGTCCCAAGCTGTACCGGGTCCTGGGGCACATAGCTCGTGAGGCGTGGGAAGAGGCAGTCCCGCGGTCGCCCGTTCATATGGACTTTGCCTTCATAAGGGGACGTCCTCAGGGCGATCGTGCTGCAGTTTGGAGGTTCCCGGCGGACATACAAACGAATTAGACATGGTGAACCCAAAGGAGAGGCCGGTCAAAGAACAGTTTTTACAGGTTAGGCTTGAGTCCTCCACCCAAATACTGGAGTGCTAGCCAAAGCCCGTGACTCCAGTGGAAAAGGGACTCAAAGCCAAGAATAGCCCGGTGACCAGGGTAAACTGAGGACAAGAAACATTAATTGCAATCTCTTCGATCTTATCGATTGTCATCTGTTTCTGCCACTGGCTACAACCAGGGTGCTGTTTGTTTGACACTTGACATGTGGTGGTTGCTTCCAAGTGGTATGAGAACCCGGCATGCCGAATGCCCAACCTCTTGTGGAGAACGGCCTGCTATACACAAATACATCCATCCTTCTTGCAGTAGTGGCGGTCTCACTCTCACCAGCCGTGGCCGCCGTGGCGCCTTCGTGTCGGCTCCGGGCCTCAGAAGCCAAGGCGCTTCTTGTCCGCTAAGATGTCCAGCAAGGTGGTCTTCCTAGCGGCTTCGGGTAGGAGCTGCTCGCGCGGAGCTGGTCGAGCTGGGAGACGTTTCGTGGCTGGGCTCGCGATGTCTCTCGATGAAAAGGTTCGGACGGTCTCGAGGTCTCTCGTCTCTCTCCATCGCTCTGATTGACCTCTGCCCGAGTCGCGTGAGTTGGAGGAGCCAGTTGGGGGTGCTTTCCAGTTCTTTTTGTTCTTCTGGGGGGGGCGCCAGCACATCCAACAGCCAACAGCACCCCAAGGCTTTGATGCAGTGTGACCTTAAACATGGCAAAAGGCAACTAACGGTGGACCCTTTACAACCAACTGCCAAGGATGTTCCAACAAGCGGATCCAACCATGTGCAACTCCAGGAAGATGGCACATGAAATCATACACTCCCTGGAACATCCTGGAACTATCATAGAAGTGGATGGCATGGCCCCAATTTTGAAAGACCATGTTCCGACTTGTTCAAACAGCTGGGTGGTCAACTCGCGCACTTCCAGGGAGGCTCTCTGCTGCGATGGCGCCCAAGCATCCCACATTCCATTGCAGACGTTTCTATAAAACTAGTGATAGTTGTTTACTGACTGTTACAGGTACTGTAATAGAATAGGGCAAACCCCAGAGATGCATGGCAAACCGGCCAAAAGCAACCTGAAATGAACCAGCTGGTAGACACCAGTGCCTTGCAACAAAGACAAAAACAATGCTGCCAGGAGTCCCACTGCCACTTGGACCCATTAAAGCGACCAAAGTCCCGGGCTCGAAGTGTCCAGAACAAGGTGCCAAAATGATCTTCTCCTCCTCGATTCATGCAGACTCGTTGGATTCTCGTGGGCTTCCACCAAAGCAGACCCTGAAGAAATAACACACATTTAGAAAGTGGGTTGGTTGGACAAATGTCCAAGTTGGGTGGTTTATGGGGACCCCATCACAAAAGAAAAGAAAACATCTTGGGGGTTGTGCCATCTACTCTGAAACCACTGTATACATCTGTCTACTTTGGTGGTTGTTTCAGCACTTCAGCCGATCTTGAGGGGTCTCGGCTGAAGTGCAACGTCCTAGGAGACCCCGCATATCTTTAAATCATGCACCCCAACATTATGAAGCCGTACGAACGACCATGTTGCCGACCTCATGTCCAGTTCTGCTCGCCACAAGTACAGTATCAACGGTTATGCTTCAATCATGAACTCACGCACCCCACAAGTCCAAAGACCACCGAAGCCTTCGGAAATTCATGGAATCTTCTTGGGACAGCTACAAACTCTTTAAAACTTCCTTGGGTATCACTTTGCCTTGTCTATTCTACAGGAACTTACACCAAATGCAGGCCGCGAAGGCCCTATGAAACAGTGCTGCATCCACCATAGCCTGGTCTTCAAATTGAAAGAGCGTCGTTGGTCGACCAAAGGGAGAAACAAGGCCAACAACACCCGCCCGCCCTTGAACTCTCTCGGGCGACCTTTGCCGAGCGTCTTGATTTTGTGGGTCCTTCATCCGAAAGCTCACATCCTGGAAGGTCAACGCCGCATTTCCATATGCCAGTCGCTCGTCTAAGGCAACCTCGGCGCACGGCGAGGTTCGGTTGAACCGAAAAGGGGTCTGCAGTGCTTTGGAGAGACTATCATTTCAACTCCAAAATCACATGATCCATGGTAAAACAGCTTGCATCAATCTATCTTCATGAGTGCACTGGCATCCTTCGGATATACATTAATCATTAATCATGATACGTATGTCGCACTGAGGAAAAAATCGAAAACAATAACACCCCAAGCATGTGTGACCTTGGCTTCTCCCATTGAGCTTCTCACATGACCTTGGCTTCTCCCCCCGGGATCCCTTGAAATTCGTGTCGACCGCACCAAACATTGCACTCGAGTGGCATCACCCGGCTCTCCAGTGACTTGCTCGATGTCCTGGAGCTGCGAAAGTTATGAAAACCACTCTGAAGCAGTCACAGTGGTGCCTGGACTACCCCTGCAAGTCCCTAATTGACGCTGGTAGCTTGGTATCCTGGTATACGATCATAAAGTTACTAAAGTTCAATGTTCATCCTCAAACAGGCCGAATAGAGCAGGACGTATCATCTAAACCACCCATGGGACAGGTTTCACCTTGCACCATCCCGGGTCAGAGTTCCTTCCCCCAAAAGAAACACCGCCACACCGCCTTTCAGCGCCAGTCGATGTCGGTCCTGGCCGATGGACTCCACCACCAAATCGTGGAGATCGGCCACGGTGCAGTCCGATAACTTGGACAAGGTGAGGCTCGTGTCCTCGCGCCGCGGTGGTGACGGTGAACCGCCAAGCGCGGTTGGCGGCAGGACCGCGGGGTTCGGCCAGGCTGGGGAGGATGGTGGAGCGACTTTGCGAAGACAGAAAGCCCAAATGGATGGAAAGCGACCAACCAACGCCGCGGTTTCAGGGAATCAACACAAAACATCGAAGCCTTCCCCACGTGTTCCTGTCTCACCCACCATGTGTCGACTTCCTGTCTTTGCCCAAGCACGCAGCTGGGACATGCGGCCCAAGTGGCCACTGGTGGCCCCGAGTCTGTCAAGGAGATCTCACGTTCACGCTGTTCAACACTGCTTCTGAGTGCTGCCTGCATGATCCTGAAGCAGTCGGCTTTGGTCGAGAGTGATCAGTGGACGGAAGAGGGTTAAGCCCAAGGCCTGCGCAAACCACATGGTGGACTGTCCGTCTGTGATGGTATCCAATCTGAGTTCGTCCCAGTCTAGCAGTCCTGCATCTTTAAATTCCTGCAAATGGGCAGTTTGATTTGCACATCGAGCAGGGTGTTTGCATGTAAAGTGTGTGACCCAAACGCTCCAAACAGCACGACCGGTCCCTGAAAATCTAGGAATTTGAGACCCCAGACCGGACCCCTCCATATGATATGAAAGTCCAGGAGCGTCTGGGTAGCCAATTCGTGGACAGGGGAGAGTTGAAGGGAGGCACTGTAGCAAAACTGGACAGAAATGGACACACTCTACGGGAAGAAAGGCTCTTGCACATGAAGCTACGCAACCTGTTGGTAGATGGCATGAATAGAACCCGCAGGTCCTGGGCGTTTTGAGCCACAGAAATCAACAAAGGCTAATGTCTTTCCCTGCTCAAAATCCAGCTGTCTTTGAACACAACTTCAATGTGCCACTCTTCTTGGAATCACAAAACCCATGACATTGTTTCTGGCACGTCTCCAGTCCCTCCAATGTCGACAAAGGACGCCCCTGGGGGTTGTGTGGTTGGGACCACCCATCCCCCCCAAAAGAAAACAAGTCACCTCCGCGCTGGTCTGAACACTCAGATCCTTCTGAACAGTTGAAAACTCGAGCGCTAGCTGCGATCGATGCCATCAGCCGATATGAGCGATCTAGTCTACCAGGTCACCCATGGTGTTACAGCTGAAGAATCTGACAGCTTCTAGTTCGCCCCAGAGGCATGGCCCGTTTGGAGTCCACTGAACACCGACCATGGGAGAGGCTGATCCTTAAAAGCAATCTCTACCCAAAAGGTTGGTCGAAAAAGCTAGACCATCCTGTCTGGTCTGGAAGTCCACAAGGTAGTGGGCAACCTACCCACGGCTTGAGCTTCAAAGGCCAAGAAAGCTCTGCACCCAAGGTTCTTCGGGCTTGCATTCGGGCAGTGCTCTTCCTTCCCCGGTGCTTTGACCTCCAAGCACATCTGACCTGCCGCTGATTCACTCCCACCAGGTGCCGAGACGATTGGCCAACCCCACAGGGCCCAAAAAAGCAGCAGACTCTTAGATGCTTTTGAGTTCACAAAATTCCACAAATCACCCATACTCTAAGCCTACGTGTTGATTTAATAATCTGAATGCCGGATAACCAAGTCTAACAACATGGAACCTGCAAAATACACATGCCTGCCAGAGCAGAAAAGCCTGAATCCAACATTTTGCAACCCTCACACTATGCGCACTATGGTGCTCCATCGTTTACAATAATCTGAGCACTTGTGCAGCGCAGCACAGATTGGGCCGATCCTATGCTCTCGACTTCAGCGATTTCATCGTTCAGAGGAGACCAAGTCCCCTCAGGTCAGATTTGAGTGGGGGCAACCATGGGAACCCCCATTCCCAAACAAGGAACCTGCAGGTTCTCCACTGACCAGGAGTGGTTCACATCCCGACCGGTGGGTTGACTCGAATCACCGAGCGGGACCGAGACACCAAACAGGGTACCCCCGTTGGGGGGCACATCCCAAGCAGCTTCAGTACTTCCAAGCCCTGCTCCCCCTCCAAAATGTCATTGAACCTCTATGCACTCTATGTCTACAATTGTCTATATTTTATACCTATATATATATATATGCTAGAGTCTATAACACATCATCTGACCATTTCAAGAGTTCTGAAAGTTCTGCAAATTAAATTCCAACTCGCAGCGCACGTCCTTCCCTGTCGAAGACTTGAGGAACTCACACATGACATGGACATGATGAACGAATTATGTACCCCATACTGTATGCAATATTATATACCCTACTAGAAGGATCTCCAAACAGGGACACCCCAAGGATCTCCATGCAGCGTCCGCGCAACCCGCGGCGCGGTACCAGCATGCCCCTCCTTCGGCCCCAGACGACCTGCGGGACCTTCTCCACGCTCCGCGGGAACCGCTTGGTCCACCATGACGCTGGGCTCCGGCATCGCCGGCGTCGCGAGTGGGCGGGGTGGAGCGGAAGCTGTGCGTGTTGAGCTGTAGCGGGATCGGTGGAGTCATGCGAGCCATCCATTTGGATGCCTTTTTGATTTGAGCAACCATGTCGTGCCCATGTTCTCGCAACAAAGAGGTACCTGCACATAAAGGTGGCAGTTCGCGCTTTCTCAACTGCTCCCCCTGGCTCATTATGTCACTTGTATGTGCTTGTATGTGCCTGTCTGCCCGCTGAGCCACTTGCTGCGCGTATCTGGGTTTGGTGGAAACCGAGGCACCTGGTGCTTGGCACTTGGCTCACATGGCCAAAAGGTTGCGTGGCGTTCCGACCAATTGGTTGAACAACCCTATCCTACCTACACTCCCTGAAACAATCATGGAAGTGGCATGGCCCTTCGGATGACCATTTTCCAAATACCAACCATCCTGGTTCGGGCTTCAGGCTATCAAGTCAATGGTGGTTGGAATCCTACTGTCAAAAGTTTGCATCACATCTGTGCAGCTGACCTTTGTTTCTTCTATAGGACCATGTTCCACAGCACAACCATATATAACTATATATCTCTTTTTTTTACACTTCAACGGCCTTTGGTCTAGCCAGGAGCCTGTACATGCACCAAATTGGTCGGGTGGTAGTCGGGGCCCATTTGGGCCCCGACGGGCGGCACACACAGCTCCGCAAACTCTTCAAAGTCCGCAGGAGCATCGAGGGGAGCAAGTGACGGCTCCATCTCCTCCAGGTAGCCCTGTACCACAGCCGCAATTGCTCTGCAAAGTGCAGCCGGGTAGGCCTTCAATGCCGCCGTTCTCCATTGTCCGTTCACACGACCAATGGATACCGTCTGGGGCACCACATCTCGCGTGCGAAACTTTGCTAAAATGCCATCAGCATTGGGCGGTGGGTTCACAATCAGAAAAGTGGTCGGTTTTGCCGACTGTGCACCGAACAGGCCCTGCTGTACATGACAAAGGCGGACATTCGGAAAAGCAAGGAGCAGCTTGATCACAGCCAGCCGCCAAATCGAAGGCTGTTCACCTCCCAGATCCTTTGGATGTTCCAACAAGAAGAAACCGTTGCTGATCAGCATATTGGCCGCAAAACGAATTGCAACACCCAGCAAATCATTCCCTGTCGAGACTTGTCGGACCTCCCTCAAGCGAAGCTCTGGTAGGCCTCGAAGGTGGGTGGCATCCCGTACAGGAAGTGGGCCTCCATCTTCACATCCATGGGAGCGTGCTCTGCTCCACGTCTCGCATGGAGGTCCTGCACAAACAATGCGCAGTAGTCCACAACGAATGGCATCTTTGAACTTATTGAAGGTTGTTGGACATAACAAGTTCCCCCAGGACTCCGAGAACACAATGTCCACACTCAGCACCCGAACACAGTGTGGCTCTGGAACTTGAAGATCTTCGAGGAAGGACTGTAAGTCACCTTCACGCCGATGCCCGGAAAATATATGTGCCATGAGCACTGGCCTGTACTTTAAGACCCTAGGCACATCTGGTAGCTTTGGCAAGTCTTGGCACCATCTCTCCCAGACTCCATCAAAGGACAGGCGGGGCCTACTTCCCAGCTTCTCGGCAATAAACCATGTAGCGGTTGCTGACGTCAAAAATACCTGATGCACTTGTTCCCAATGGGATGGGGCACAGTTCGCATGACATCGAGCACTCCACTGTGTGAAAAGTTGTTTGATCTCATCCACGTGCAACACCGTCTGCATGGTAGCCTCTTTGATGGCAGAGACAGTGATATCAACACTCGAATGGCTGGAGATCTGCGCAATTGCACAGGTCCATGAGGTGCAGAGTTCAGTTTCGGCCTCCACCATAGGCAGCTCATCATGAGGAAGACCCGGTGGCAAAACTGGACCTTCTGCTTGAATTGGGGGCTTCCAAAAAGCAGGTCTCTGTTGTCCCGCAATGACACTATTCATGCCCGGCTCCAAATCCGCAGTCCAACCCCGGCAAAGCGCAGAATTACGACATCTGGCCTGGTAGTTGAGGTGATGGATAAGCGCCACATGCGAGGCATACTGCTTCAGGCAGCTGGGGCATTGAGATCCAACAGCCACACGTCGGCCCATAGTGGTTCTCCCATGGACTTTAAACGCATGAACACTCCAGCCTGCCTTGGTTTGGAAGTACTGCTGGCAACGAATACATCCATGTTGGGATGTGGCCAGGGCAAGGATTTCAGGTCCCGTGGTTTCACACATCTGGTGAAAGTCCGTGGCGATTGCATCATGCCATTCATCCCACCGATGCACCAAAGAGGCCTGTTCCACTGTATGCTGAACAGCACGGGAAATCAACTTTTTCCACCTAGTGGGGGAAGATCCAATATATTGCAACCAGGAAGGCCAGTCCTCAATCAGTCTCCACATTCCCAGCGGAAAACGTCGTTGAGATTGGAGCCAATCAACATCTGCTTGTGCTTGGTGCCACCATGAACTGCCAAGCTGTAGCAATGCCCAGGTAGCATCATTTGCTGCCCCCACTACATGTGCCAAAAATCGTAGGCGAATGGAACGCAGCAGAACCATGGGCGAGACAAATCCCATTTCTTGCTGCAACCTCTGATCCGTCCATTCTCTGACAGCCAAACCTGCGTGAATCATCGCAAATCTTCTATACAAACCACCTAACTTGCGACCCCAAGCAACATTGACTGCCGTAGTGAAGGGAGCCCAGGCTGCCACATTACAGAAAACAGCTGATAGGATCAGTGAGTCAAAAAGTAGCACCTTCTTTCTCAGAGGCAAGGCCTTGTTCCCGAAAATTGCCACGCGAAACTGACCAAGTCTTGCATGTGCAATGGCAAAACGAGACTTCAAGTCCAGTAGTGGTGAGTTGTTCTCAGTCAACCACAGACCCAAGTGCTTGTATCGTCCGACCAAAGCAATCTCATCTGCAGCAGCTTGCGCTACGGTCTGGAGTTTCTGATCGTTTTGCACAAGTGCCTTCTTGAGTCGTTGGCTACCACATCCTCGCAGTTGCAACAGCACCTCACTCTTTCCCTTCGCCATATTCGGCGACATCCCAAAACAAGCAAGCATGTCCATCAGGAGGCCCGCAGTCTTAGAAATACGCTGGGTGAGGTCCAATGGTGTGTCCCCTTGTTGCACAACTGCAATATCGTCTGCCCAAATGGGCCCTAGATACTCTTGCAGTCGCTGTTGCTCTCCTGCTTGTGGTGAAGGGCAGCCAGTCCAAGGGATTTGCACCAACAGGCCATACGACTTCATCTTGTCTTGGACAATACGAAGGATCCGCGTCAGCACAAAGCCAAAGACCAGGTCAGCATATGAATCCCCTGGTCGGGTACCTTGGGTGGTGGCCGTCAGTGTTTTAGTGCCCCGTACACAGTACCAGGTATTATCGAAGGCATCCTGATAGATGCGTTTCAACTGTTCTGGAACATCTGCATCATCAAAGGCAGCAGGAGATTCAATCAAGGCCAGGAAATCCTGATAGGCAGAATGCCCAATTCCCAGCTTGTCAAAAAAGGCACACAATCCAGCAGGTGATTGCAATCCAGGAATAGCGTGCTGCCGAACGACTCTATAAAAAGCGTTTTGGATGTCGATAAAAATCACACCCGTAGAGATTTTTGCTTTCGCACGATTGTCCAAGAAGAGGTGCAACCCCAATGCTGCCAGACCCACCGACTGTTTAGGTCTACCTCCAAGTTGATGAGGCATGGCATATGGCTCAAACTTTTCCATGAGCGCAGACCGAAAAAGCCTGTGATGTGCCTTGCCCAAAGTAGACGAGACCAGCAAACTGCGATAAGACGCGCAGTCATCGGAGGGTCCTTTGCCCTTGTAGGCCGCCACCAACAAGCCGCCTTTGTATAATAGGGGTTCTGTTGCAGTCAAGGTATGCTTCAGAAGAAGGGGAAAACAGACAGTTGCAAGTGCCCCAGCAGCTTTCCTCAAAACCTCCCCAGGAATGAGGTCATCAAAGTACGCTCTACCAGGAGTCGTCCGTCTGAGCACAGCCTCTAACTGTGTCAACGTAGGCAGATGCGACCAGTCAACGACACAAGGTTCCGCCTCAACCTTGCAATTGGCAACCAGTTCATCAAATTCAATTGGTGCACCACCTTCCTGTTCTTGGAAGAATTCCCTCCATCGTTCAGCCCAAGCTTCGTAGGATGTGATGTGTTCACCAGCTCCATTTTGTAGCTTGGGTAATGGGAGAGTCCCTCTCTGTTTGCGTCTCCCGCAGACCACAACTTTTTGTAGGGTTCGATGAAAATCATTTGGGAGGCCAGTCACAGCTTTGTTTGCCACCTCGTGGACATAAGCCGTTCGATCAGTGCGTAAAGCCTGTCGCAAAGTGTTCCGTGTGCTCCACAAAGCTTCAGCTGTGTGTCGGAGCCCCATAACTGTGTGCCATCTGAGCGGCCAGAGGTGATCGTGTGCTTCGGTCAGCACCATGTCTCTTGCCCAGGCCAAAAAGGCAATGCTCAGGTCATAGGTTGCTTCTGCCCGGTGCAACATTCTCAAACGTCGCTGTAACACCAGCCTTTCCTCCCGAATGCTCCAAGTAGCAGCCGAAATGAAGGTTGCCCTAGGTGGGTGTCTGGCTGCAGGAAAACGTCGTTCCAACCACGCAGAAACTGCTTTGGTCAGTCGCATAGCATGGTTGTGCACATTGACCTGCCATGGGATAGTTGGTAGATGCACTTGCAAATCTTGAATGTCCTCCTGCGTCATATGCATGATCTTCTGTCGATCAAATTGTGGCAACTGTCTTTTTTTTGTTTTCGGATAGATCAGATGCACCCATACTGCCAGCGGTGAATGGTCCATCTCAAGAGTCCCAGCATCCAAGCTCGGCAGCAAAGTGCTCCATTGACGAGAGGATCTCCAATCCAAGGGGAATGCCACGTAGTCACATCTCGCTGAAACTTTTCCATCCCCTCTAGTCCAGGTGATGGAGGATCCCACCTGACAATCATGCCACGTGGATGGCAGATACAGGCAAAACTCCTGTAAAAACTGCAAGAAGAGCTTCGAG